GACGGATAACAGCATGATGCAACAGGAGGTCGAAATCCTCTTTAGCAATCTTTAGTTTCTCTGAGTTTAGCCGACGTGGACGGTCATTGACTGGCGGTCCAGTGGTGACTATGTGGTGATGAGTTCCTGTAGGGGCGTCCACTGATGGGGCTGACCTTGGACGGGTGATGTCAATAAACTCTTCCAGCAACTTGCTATAGGGTTGACTGAGTGTAGGAGGTGCATATTCTGCATTATTGACAGTGGAAACAGTATGAAGTTCGGTTTCATGCATTTCAGCAGGAGAAGACAGTGAGGTGAGAGAGTCCAGAAGGCGCTTGTGCTTTAAATCAGGAAGGAGGCCATGATGTGAAAGCAGGTCGGCACCTATGATTGCTGATTTGACGTCTGCAATGATAAATGCCCACTTGAAGGATCTGCGGAGTCCAAAATTGAGGTTAAGAAAGTGTTGACCATACGTTTTGATAACTGTTGCATTGGCTGCATATAGCATGAGGTCAGCAGGCAGAAGTTTTCGTTGAAAGAAGCTTCTTGGAATCAAGGATACAACGGAACCACTATCGATAAGGAACTTCATGCCAGTGACCTTGTCTATGACGTGCAGGCGACTTTCTTTAGATGGGAGGCTGGTGCTGTTGACATTGCTGTCGCTTACCACCTGAACAGGCGACAGCATATTTAGTTTTCCTGGCGCGGAGATGCTAGTGGCAGCTGAGACACATTTTTGGGCCCGGGCACCGAATTTTCGATGATATCGGCATTCTCCAGAAGTGACAGAACGCTCACGTGGTTGTCGACTGGTAGAGGTGAGACTCTGTCTGATGGCAGAAGTGAGGTCCTTCTGAGCAATGGTTAGTTCTGTGATGGCTTGTCTGAGTTCGTTCAGCTCGGAGGCTACTGAAGAACCATGTCCATGCTGGCGAGAGCTCTGGTTGACGGCCATGACACTGCCACCAGGGATGTTTGTCATGAGCTCATCAGCTGCAGCAGCTAGTTCGTTAAGTGAATTGGCCTTGAAAATTTTCAGCAAGTGCTGAATGCTGACAGGCAGAAGGGCCAGCCATCGTATGCGGAGCACGTCTTCTGTAGCACGATTGCCGGCAAGGGCTCGCATTTCACGAAGCAACTGTGAGGGTTTTCGGTCACCTAGTTCTAGATCAGTGAGCAGTTTGTGCATCTGAGAGTCTTCGGAGGCTGTTAAGTCTACTTATTAGGTTAGACTTGAGATTTTGGTACTTATCTTGAGGTGGTGGAGCCTTCAAGATGTCTGCAACTTCCGTGATTGTGTCCGGGTCCAGTGATTTTACCAATTGATAGTACTTGGTGCTATCGGACTGTATACGGTGGGCTTGAAAGACTGATTCAATCTGCAGAAACCATAGGTCTGGATGAGAACGCCAAAAGGGTGGCAGATTGCAGTTGTAAACTGCGTCAATGGCATAACTCTGCTGCTGGTTGAGCATCATGGGGGCTGGCAACGAATTTACTACTGGTTGGGCATATGCTTGCTGATAGCTCACCGGGTGATTTGTTGAATTAAAATGCACCGCGGGATCAAATGCTGTACTGCCGTGAGGGCCAGAAGGTTGAGGCATAGGAATACTCACTGACGAACTCCTGTCTGGTTGCTGGTTGGTAAAAGAGCTGTTTGCAGCCAATTGCTGATCAGGATCTACTGAGGAGTCGAAATTGCTTTGCATCTTGATTTTTTTAGTAGTCAGACACGTCTTTTAGGTTAGAGGCCGAGTGGTACGCGGAGATATATCACGTCGGGGTCACCAGTTATAGCTACTACTGCTATGTGTTTGCTTGATATATCACCAGCGAATGAAAACACTGTTTTACTAATAACTCGGTTTAATTCTGGGCACTGAACATACAAATAAATCGAAATACTTTATTTTGTTAACAACAACAACACGATATCATAATTGCGCGGCAACAAGCTGACTAGAGGTCTGTTTCCACAGGAGTCTCTGACAGTTTGCGAACTGTCAGTAAGCATCGCCCATAATACATGTTTTCAATGCTGCCGTTACAAGATAAATCTGTAACTCAGCTGAGCGATTGTTTCTGACAGGTTGCAAACTGTCAGAGAGTCCTGTAGAAACAGACCTTAGAAGTAAACAACAACCTGGGACAGCTGACTTCTGTCACGTCACGTCAGGCCGCCAGGGTTGTACACAATAGTTGAGCCATCCAGGGTTGAACACAACGGACTCGCGGAACAATGACGCCACATTCTAGTTGAAAGTGCTGCCCTCTATCAACATCTATGGTAATTTCCTATGATACATACAGGAACCTGTTTTTTTGATTAAATTGACAGTTTGAAATTGAAATTAAATCAATAGAAACCTGTAACGTTATGACAATATCCTTGCGTCATGACGTCATTTTCATTATTGACCTAGGTTTTTTTTCATTATTTTCATTATTAACCTAGGGAGAGAAATTCAATTTTTTCCGAGAAAAATAGATTGAATAATGACTACTTCTCAGGTTAGTAGTAAAAAAATGTCATTTTGACACTACAAATGAGATCCATAATAATATCATTTTATTATTATTATCATTAAAGTCCATGAACTTCACGTCGATGTTGATTATAATTACTTTGAGTCGAAAATACTTTATCGCATTCAAAGCAAAACACGCCCATTTTGAAATAGTATTCATTCGTATTCGCGCTCTCAAAAAAAAAAATAGAAACAAATCGTACACAAATCAAAAATACAAGCAATAAGCGAGCTACTGAATACAATATACAATACTACTAGCTTTGTTTGTTTATTTGCACCAAAGAGATCAATGAAGAAGACAGACTGACAGAGACAGCCAAGCATCACTTTCCGCATTTGTTAGGTAAATAACTATTATTTGCAATCATATATGTAATCTTGTCATTACTGGCTTTTTAAAAATTTGGAAGTGTCACTATACCTGTGTTACTTCCCTCTTCGATTTCCCTCACCGATTTCCCTATTCGACTTCCCTCACCGATTTCCCTCACTGTAATTTATTTACCTTTGCTGGCAACAATGAGAACATGTCAGGTAAAAACGTCAAAACAGTGAATGACACATTTTGGCATGTTTGTTTTTTTAATATTAAAAAAATTAAATCATAACTAATGGTGTGCTTGCAAATAAAATAGTATACAAACCTTGGAGGAAAGTTTTCATTTCTGTCTCGAGATTAATAGACTATATAAATCTCTCGACACTTCCCTACTCGGTATGTAATATACTATACTGCCCCTACGGTCCTACCTACTTCTCAATTATTATTCAATAGTTTAATGAAACTAGAACGATTTAATATGGACATTCATAGTATAAAGCTTATTTCACAAAGCCAAATAGTGATACCTAATTTAGATTTTCATAATCATATTCCAGAAAAACACTGCAAGTTTCCCATATTTTCCATGCGATTTCATACTAAACGTGCCAGTACCAGTACCTGAAGGAATTTATTTACATATTTATTTATTCACTCTTCACAAACACTAATTTTTAGTAATTACATGCAAAGGAAACTATTACAACTAAGTAGCTATTTGATTTACAAAAAAATAGCAATACAAATGCTTGACTAGGAAATACTAACTTTAGAAAACTAGCAATATACACGAATAAAAGAAAGCGATGTCCTGATACAACAAATCCAGTATTATAAAACCACTAAAACCAGAAAATGCTTGGGTTTTTCGCGAGTATTTTCAGCCACGAGTCTTTTATGCTTACACACAATAAATGAAACTTTAAATTACACCTATAACACTTGATCCGAAATGCACGTGACGTCACAGCAATTGTGAACAAATTTAGCCGAATGAGCAATCTAGAGTTTACGATTCTTGACTTTTGATGAAATACATTTCACCGACCAAAATCACGAAGTAAAAAAGCTCGAACCATCGACGCGCTAAAAATCCGAATCAAATAAACTGCTCGTTCTGTTCTGTTCTGACCTGAATCGACCCGAACATTATTGCCCTGCTCTCTCACTCAATACTACTATAGAAGCAGAGCCTAGCCGCTTTCCAGTATGCACATTGGCGCGCTCTAGAGCACCTCGGGGGCGCCACGCACTAGATTTGTACCGTTCCAGTATCATGGCGTGAGACGCCTGTCTTAGTGTCAAATATGTCAAATTTTAAAAATAATTATCTGTTTGTTTGTGCAAATTGTTTTTTTATTTATCAAAAATGAAAGAGAATCAAAACTATATTTTTTAAAATGTTCAATCATGAGATATAACAAGAAATAAATAGATAAATAGCCTCCCACGGATGTGACAGCTGATAGGTTGACGCGTACGTACAGCTCGGGAGCTCAACGCCCCGAGTAGCTCCGGGCGTCACACTCCCATACTGGAAAGCGGCTCTTACTCGCCATTGCTAAAATTATTTTAAGCACGGTCTGGAGTGTGACGTTTGTTATATTGTTCTTTGGCCAGCACTCTTCAGCTCATACAGAAATATGTTTAGTTCTAGTTCAAATCAAAGGTGTTTTCAAGAAGCTTGTGTTTTCTCGCGTCTCAAAGTTTTGAAACATTTTTCTGGTTTTTTAAAACACTTTCACAGTGACGTCATAACTTTTCAGCGCAAGAAAATGGTTATGAAGCGTGGATTGGATTGTATTTAATGTATTTCGAAACAGTTTGGACCAATTTTCATGTGACGTCATGGGTTCATCGCGAGAATATACCTTTTCAAACCTGTTTTGAACCAATTTCAAAAAAGTTAACGCCACAAAACAGCTTTTTTATGATTATGCAAGCACTGGAACGGCGCAAAGAATCCGTGCCGTGCGTTCGGTATTTTGATCTGAGTTCTCCGAGCTTGAATTTACTGTTCGTTTATTTAAAAAGTGTACTCGGTGCAGGCTCATTCGCGTTCGTTTATTAGAAATTCTGACACTATGATACAGCGTTCAACTGCTCTGTCGCTCGCTGGTCACGTGTTTATGGCATCGCTCAGCACGCTTCTTTGAGCAAAATACCGAACGCAAGGAAAGCAGCTGTGGGTTATGGGAAATATAGAAAAAGAAGATTTATAACTTACGTTATCTTAACCTAAAATAAAAAAGTTACAGATTCTCGATTCTCGTGTTTTTGTGAGATTTTCATTGAATATTTATTTATTTATCGAAAATGGAATCCTTAGACGTTGATGATCAAAATGTATCACGAATAATGTAAGTAGATTGCCTATCACATGAAAATGTTCAGGATTTATCGTGAAATGTAATTTTTATTATTTAAAAGGACCTACACATATGCATTCTACATGTACCATGTTCTTCCATTCTCCAGGATTATCTTGTGGCCAAACAAATGCGGAACACGTATTTCTTCAACACAATTACAGATTGTCCATCTAAAGCCAATACTGTGTAACCTGTTCATGTTCAATCAAACTTCCAGCTTCACTATATTCAATTTTTAGAACTTGGAAGTTGGTTTTTCTCTCTCCCAACCTAGCTCGCTTTGGCCTCCAAATCTCACCCACCTTGAGACCCAGACCCACCCACATCAACTAAAAAAATACTGGGGAAAATGCTACCCGGGATGCTACCTACACTCACAGTCACAGTAGACTCACAAGAGTGTAACACAAAAATCCACGGAATATCCAGCATTAAATATCTATCTTCGCAATAATTTCACAAGAGATTTTTGTAATTTAAGACCTTTTTAAAACTCTCCCATTGTCCTAGGCAGATCTAAGGCCTATACCCTGTCTACAAATGAAATATAAAATCCCTAATCAAAATTTGAGGTTCAGGGGAAAGATTGGTAGTACCAATCTAAGGTAATACCTACCAGTTTTTGAAGTTAGTAAATTGGTAACCTTGAATATTTATAGCTAAAAAAATACTATTTGATTAAATTTGGACCATGCCTGCCAATTATTATTACCTATGAGAGAAAAATCACTGCTAACATAATGATTTTTGGGCTCGTAGAAATCTCATTTCCCAATAACCTTTCAATAAGACCCAAGACCAAGTATGTACAGGGTGGCCCAAATTCGAGCCTCATCATTGGGATCTCGGAAACCAATGATTAGGCTCGAATTTGGGCCACCCGTACATACATACATCTTGCAGCACTTATACCTAACAAACTATAATAATAATGTACAAAGATTTGGTTCCATAACAAAAATTTGGCAAAATCCATAGAACCCAAAAATCATATGTTAGCCGTGCATTATCCTTTACGATTTAAAAATAAGTTTAGCATGAAGCACCATCATTGGAAGTACCAATATAATGTAATTTTGACTTTTATATTTAATTTTGAGGGAGTCTTGACATATTTTATTAGGTACATATTTGGAATATTATTTAAACATATCAATATTCCATTGCTTGAATATTCAATTGGGCAGGAATTATTTGTTATCGATTCTAGACCACTACAAAAGACTGGCTATTCATGGATTTAACAACAAAGTCCATCTCCAAATTGTGATATGTGTATAACTTACTATCTTCAATTTCCTGTTTTATTATTTTTAGACATTGCTGTATGTGTGGCTTAGACATTGAACCAAACCCATCCAACATGTGTGTGGGCTGTCTTCGCAACCAAGTAAATATCACGGAGGGCATAGCCGAACAAGCCACACTATACTTTTGTAGAGGATGTGAAAGATATCTACAACCTCCTCAAGAATGGATCCACTGTGCCTTAGAATCCAGGGAACTACTTTCATTATGCTTGAAAAAACTGAAGGGGTTAAACAGGCTTAAATTAGTTGATGCTGGGTTTGTTTGGACTGAACCACATTCGAAAAGAATCAAGGTAACTTTAACAATTTTAAATAGTCTTCTTGTTTTTTTTTTTTGTAATGTGAAACAATGTAGGTAAAGTTGGTTGTTCATGGAGAAGTAATGGGAGCAGTTTTACAAAAGGAATTTGTGGTTGTTTACACCATATCGCATCAAATGTGTGACGAATGCCATCGTACTGAAGCAAAAGATTTTTGGAAAGCTTTGGTACAAGTCAGACAAAGAGCAGAAAATAAAAAGACATTTTATTATTTGGAACAGTTGATACTGAAATACAAAGCTCACGAGAACAGTTTGGGAATTAAACCCATACATGGTAAGTTAAAAGAAATCAATTGAATTCAGTATCTGTATGTACAAAATTATATTTTTTAGGCGGTCTAGATTTTTATTATGCAACCGAAGCCCATGCCAAAAAAATGGTAGATTTTTTATCAACTGTACTTCCTTGCAAATATCAGCATTCCAAGAAGCTCATTTCTCAGGATATTCATAGCAATGTGTATAATTATAAATTTACATATTGCGTTGAAATAGTGCCCATTTCCAAAGATAGTGTGGTCTGTTTGCCTAAGAAATTCACACAATCTTTGGGTGGAATATCGCCGGTTTGTTTGGTTTATCGAGTCACTAATTCTTTGCATCTGATTGATCCTTCTACTGGACAAAGTAAGTAACTGTAGCTGTTTTCATTTTGTTGCCACACTTGTTACAAAAACTACTAGGTGTATATAAAAGCATTCCACATTTCACAATATTGTTATGTTACAAGAAAAATCTTGTTAGAAAAAACAAAAAATGGTAGGAGGTGTCTATGTAAACTTAAAGTCGTTGAAGATAATAAAAAATACAATAGAGAACAATAATGCGGAAAACACCATAGACTTGAATTTGAAGTCCGTACTATAGAACTCTTCTCTGTCTATAAGTCTACAGGCAGGAAAGCATGGGCGCTTTCTTTTATTTATCGATGTTATTCACCATTATGAGACAGCCATTCCGGCTTTCTATGAACTGGACAAAGACTGGCCACCGTTGGGTTGGAAGTGGATGGATCCATCGGTGAATAAAAAAAAGCGCTCTATCCGATATTTTTGAGGAGTTTGTTATAACACCTGACAGTCAGAGACTCAGGCCTACTCTGACATTTACTAAGCAAGCCTACTCTGAAATTACTGAGCCTACATTGTGTGTTGCTATTTTGACCATGCATGTCTTCATAACTTGTGGATGCATAGGTTCTCATTTTCTTTTATAAACAGAAAGTTCTGCAAAATGAACACTGTGGGAAATGTGAGCACACCTAATCCTAAGAAAGCAACCATGCAATCCTCCTTATATGCTAGTGCTGCCATAATTTGGATGCCTTGTCTCTGCATTCTGAAAGCCCTTCGAAATGCCCTAGGCCTTCCCACACAAATATTTTATAGGTTAAAACGCCATGAAACAAGTTCATGTTCATATTCAATACATCTCATTAGTCATTCCAGATAACTTTTACTGATGTGTAACAACATTTTTTATTTATTTATAATGAAATTTCTAGTTGCTGAGGTAAACAGCACCAACTATTACCGCTCCCCATTCAATGCCATTTGCAATCCCAAGCAATTAGTGGAATTTATTGTGATGGACATTGAACCAATCATGGACAAAGATCGTAAAATTTTCCCTGGCCAAGGAAGTATATCAAATCGTCACGTATTGGCTGACGTGTGGTTGGTTAAAGCATCAGAATTGGGCATTAATGACACAACCGTGCATGCGAAAACACATCTGGGGCATGTCTTGAAGGTTGGTGATTCAGTTTTGGGGTAAGATTTATCTTCTCAAAATTTGTCATTGAAAGGCATAATGTTTCCTCCTATGTTTCCAGCTACAATATTCAAGATAGTAATATAAATGATTCTAATTTTGATAAATTGGATAGTACGAATATTGCTGATGTAATATTGGTTAGAAAATACTTTGGCGATAGGGCTGCTAAGAAAAGACAGAGAATTTGGAAGCTTAAAAGATTGGCCGAAGAAGATACTGGGAGTATTGATGGAAAGTATGTCAAAATGATAAAATAATTATCATTTTATTTACTGATTTTTCTTTTCAGTGACTTTAATGAATTTATGGATGACCTGGAAGAAGACCCTGAGCTACGTAAAAACGTTAACATTTTCAAGAATAAAGCCACAACTATTCCAGTGGATTTGTATGATTCAAATTATGATGCTAATACCCCTCGTATTACCTTAGAGGAAATGTTAGACGATTTGGATGTGAATGATGTTGAAATGGCAGAATAAGTATAAAACATTGTTGATGTGAAGTTATATATTTCAATATTTACTGTTCATTTTAAATAAATATATTAACAATAAACACTTTCAGTGGTCTCCACTGCAGCTATTAAGCAAACCAGCTTCTTTTTACATTTTCTGTCACAACCAGCTTTATTATATACATCACTGTTCCTATACATGAGCTTAAAATATGTATCGACTAGTGCATTATCAGAATTATTCATGGTCATTTGCCAATATAATTTTTCAAGTGATTTATGGGTTAAATCTGGTAACCCATAAGTCTCTTTAAATGAGTAGAGTTTGTACCATTCTGGGTAGGACTTTGCGTTGGAGTTGGCTTGGGTAAGATTGAAGGTGTATTGACTGTAATCTGTCACGGACTAGAACAAAAACAAGAATTAACATTCATTGAAACCTAGTGAATTCAGGAAAACTGTACCATGTTATTGTTATCAACTTCGTAGATTCTGTAATCTGGATTCGATCCTACAAAAGTAGCAAAACTGGCACCATTGTAAGCAACATTTTTCACTTCAGTCATATCTGAGGCGTTGAAATACAACTTGAATTCGTCCATGTGTGTGTGGCCGTTGAATTGGGCTACTATTGTATCTGAAAATCTACAGAGATAAAGTTGGAGGGTGTACAGTTTTTTGAATTAGGTTCGGAGTTAAATAAGAACACCCAAAGTGAATATATTTATGATTAATAGGGCCAATAGCTGGGCTGGATATTGGATGTCGCCATTTTCCCCTGCTAAATATCTGGATCTAGGGCAACAACTCTCCAATTTGACTTGTTCACTTTCAAGTTTGCAGTGGCACTATCTTCCTAGTAGAGTTTTGGTCTTTCGCTGCACACTGTTTTTACTTTACCACTCATTCTGGAATATTGCCTACCGACCTCAAGATGTGTCTCTAATGTGAGTAGAAAGATTGCCGACCTCAAGATGTGTCTCAAATGTGAGTAGAAAAATTAGCATCTGGCACCATATGTAACAAGATGACAAGATTAGGTAGAATTACAGTTCTGTGAAGATGGAATTCTGTTTTTCTCGTAATGTTGAAACTATTAAATAATGAATGGGAGAAAGAGAAACCACCAAAGTACAAAGGCATGAGTTTAATTAACTGTAGCCTTTGTACCCGTTAATTAGTGGGATGTTCCATAGACATGGATTTCCTGTTCTAAATTAGGGAACCCAATTTTTCTAAATTGGAGAAAATGTCCAAGAGCATATTATGAACCTCTTATGAGTACCTAGCTAAAAACATCATTAGGTACATACCTTAAAACAATTTTTCTAAATTCTTTACTCCAAATTTTTACGCACGAATTAATGTCGTCACTGGAAGGAACATGCGACAAAATATGAACCTTTTCGCCATTTTTTTCGGCTTGACTCAAAACATTTACAAGCCACTGAAGTTGTCCAAAAGTATCTAAATTTTCATAGATCAACCATCTGAAATGAAAGTAACAAAGAAGTCTAAGATTTAAGAAGAAATTAGGTACTCACAAATTTGAAATGAAACAAACATTACTATTCAAAGCAACTATTCTAAAGCCTGGTTTAACTAAGACAGTATAGTAACCACCTTTTCTAATTGTAGATTGAGTAGCATTTGGCAACCATCTTGACCATTCATCTGCAGCTAGATCCAAAAGCCATTGCGTAGATACATTGGAAGTCTTATCGACAGTATCTGGGGAATAACTAAAAGAACATTTGAATTAAATAATCTGTCAGTTGTAAATGTAAATGTAAAATTTCGCTCTCAGTAAAGATCTAAGAATAGGAGTCATTTACCTATATACTTACAAGTCAGCAGGATGCGCTTCATGATTTCCTAATATAGGAAACACAGTTTTATTGGGAAACGTTTTCTCCAAAAGTGTAAACATCAATTTTATAGATTCAGTATTGCTTTGAACACTAGTAGCCCAACTTCTATGACTAACTATATCGCCGGTAAAATAGATCCAATCAATATGTTTCTAACAAATGAAATATCAATCGATGATTATTTAAAAGTCACCAACAAACCCCTACATGTTTCTCCCTAATCCTCTCCATCATATTCTCCATCGTATGCCATGGCATGTCGCACACTTTATAGTCTCCCCAATATCCTGCAGCATCTTCAGGATTAGCAGGCACTCCAGAGTCACAGCATAAAGGTTCTGAACACTTTGCGTTACTTCCTGGACTATAAAGAGGATCAAGATGAACGTCCGTTATTTGCAGGATCTGGACTGAGTCAGTGTCATTCTAGAATTTAAGTTAAACATGAAATTATTTGAAAACAAAATAAATTAAAGATATTTGTTGGATGGTTCATTCACAAAAATTCACCAGAAATACCTTGTTGGTTGTGCAAAGCTGTTTTGGAATTGTTTATTTATTTGGTCACCTATAAAAATACCTGATAGACATATTTTGAAGCAACATTAGCTGCATAATCAGGCAAGGGGATACTCCAGTTATCAGCGTTAGGATCTTCACAGTTATATGACTGGAAATATATGGAACAAAATCTGGCTGGCTGTAGATCTTTTTTGTTGTCTATGATAAACAAAATTGTATCCTGAAAATCACATAATAATTCTGTGTTAATTTGATACAAAATATATAATATTTACCGTTTCAATATCAGTCCGTCCCTTACATCCATCCTCGCCCCAATCAGTATACAAAACACAAAGTTGGTTAAGGTAATCCATCATTACATCCTTAGTGCTGTTACTTCTTCTCAAAGATATAATACCGCTTATCACTTGCTGGCATAACATACAAGCGGAATCTGGATCATCTTTGATTTGGTTTAGTTGACGCGAGGCTTCAATTAAATGGGGAGCCACTAAAGGGGAGTTGGTGAGGGTGCGCTGGATAAGATCTGTAAATAATGAGAAAATCGCCTAAATCTTAATTATTGTAGATATAATTTACTAGGTACCTACTTTCTGTCTTCAAACCAACACATATTTCGATGGTGGATAGAATAAGCACAAGAACCTTCAGTAAATACATTTTTAACCGATTCAGTTCACTAGGTATTTTCGCTATTGCATTATTGATGGAATAAAGAGAAGTGAAAATATAACTAGCGGGGTGACCACATTAAAATATAATATATGTCGTATCGTATTTTGTAAAGATAAGATTCAACAACAAAGTGGACCTTGTTATATAAACAACATTTCATACTTTAATTATTTATATATATGTATCTAGTTTAATTCGTATAATTAAATTTAACGATAGATAATGATGTTTACAGGTTTGGAATTTCTGAGGAATGTGTAAAGAGGAGACTCTGATATATTCTAAGTAAAAAAAAATATTTATTTGAAGTTTTAGAGATTTCCTATTGCACTTTGAATTGAAAAACCTATATAAAGTCTGGTCTTTTTTTTAAAGATAATTCCCCAAGTCGAAAATTTAGTAACTATGTTGGCAGCACAAGCCTTTTCTACACAAAAAATTTGAAAGCATTGACAATTTTACATTGTATTGCCAACATAATGTCATTTTGACTTTTATCTTTAAAAAGAAAACAGATTTTAACTTATTTTTTGGGGATTGTCAACATCAATGTCATCAATGACTCAACATCCAAGTCACAGATCCAAGTTTTTGCTGTCATCAATTTACACTTTTTAGTCAAAAAGTAGCCTTAATTTTTTCAGCTTGCTTTTTCCTCAACAACCTCAGGCAATTCAGTCTGCTCTTCTGGATGAACGGATGAACTTATAGAGGAAATGGTGAAATCAAGCAGACGTTCATCCGACAAAGAGTTTATGCACAAAACGAAATTCCTGATCAAAAGTCAAAAGGCGAAACCACTATTATTTGCGTTTTCTTGTTTTGTTTGCGCAAGTCTACACAGTTCTTAAAAAGGCACTTCCAGCATTTGTTACATAGGGCGTTCTTTATACCGAAAAAAAAAAGATAAATAAAAAACTTATAGCTACTATTCAAAATAGGGAAAAATCGAAAATGAATGGTATCATTGAAGATATCGCGATACGGTTTTTGACAATCGACGTTTTTCGGAAATCGATCCCATGACATCTAAGTCAATTTTTCTCTATCTTGCTTTGTCTGGAAGTAGGTATATTTTTCCTGTTAAAACACTCCAAATTGCAGCACCCAAGTTTGCGTCCTGTCCAAATGGCTACTGTAACTCGTGATGTTACTTAACTTAATTACTTCATCCGAGAGAGATAGATCGTTTTGCTGCGGTTTATGGAAAGTCCTTCCTCACTGCAGGTTTTGATTCTATTCAAGGCACTGTAGATTTTGCAATCGACCCATTATTATGCCTTCATGCTTCATGCTTGCCTCCATTGATAAACTACCGCCATATCATCTGCATAACCTAGGTCAGTTGTTTCGACGTTGCTTAATAGTCAGGATACTGAGCGATGTGCTAAAGCATGGCCTCTGTATATCTTATAATGGAAGGTCCTACCCCTAACCTGATAACGCAAGGAAAATGTTTTGCGATTTTGTATTCCTTTTCTGTCTGTTACTAGACAATGGAGTGCACTTGTTGTGAATTTGCCTCCTTGGTAAGCAAATTGTCTTGGATGAAGCAGTCTTTTGCAGCTGGGAAGATACCGTCCTTTCCTGGAGATTTGTGCGGCTTAAGGCTATGTCTATATTGTCTATCGTCCATTTTATTCGGTTTTGCGTGAATCATACCCTGCCAGCCTCCGTCATCTTCGGTAGAACGATAAGACTTTTTCTTTGGGAGCTTGACGGGCTCTGAGAATTTTTTTTACGATTGATCCCGGAAAGTCAGTCTTCAGTAAGACCTCTAGTGACTTTCTTTGTGGTTTTTTAGAAGACGAATACCATTTGAGTGGTTTTTTTGACTTTTTGTAGACATTAAGCTGGGGCTAATAATTCATTTATCCCTTCAGAACTGTCTCCAGGTTCTCCTTTTGGATTTTCTGAAGTCTTTATTGTACCTTGTAAGGGCTATCCTGTACATTTTTCCCAATCGCGAGTAGTTTTAGGTAGGTAGCCTTATTGAACAACTTTCTGGCCTTTGCTTCAAGGCCACTCAATTTCCCGTATTGTCAGATTGATGCCCATTTGAACTGATTTTGATTTATTCTAGGATTATTTAAGTCAAGAGTTAAAATTTAATTTATTTTATGGATCACGACCGTTAATAATTGATATTGTTCGAATAACTGGGAAACAGTCAGTATCATAGATTTATTACTCTTTTACAATTGCCTAGCTTTCGAAGCCTTTCGCTTCTTCTTCAGGGCTATAATAATATAATATAAAATAAATAAAAAATGAATATAATATAAATTAGAAATTAAATAAAAAATTTATAAACTTTTTAAAACATACCTTGTAGTGACTAGTGAGTCTATCGATTTCTCTGGTTTTTTTTAAAGTTTTTTCATTTATGATATATTATAGATTTTTATAAAAAATTTAATATAAATGTATAATGAAAATTATTTCAAAAAATGTAAAATATGGTATAATTTTTTTTTTTTTGAAAATTTTGATTTGTGTTTGATAGACTTGACAATATGATGCAGGTAATCTTTGAAGGTAATAAACTGGTATTTAGGAAGTTTTTTTGTCCAGAGATAACAAATAGGAATATATTATACTCAAATTACTAATTTCTGTTCTTTCATTAATTGAATTTTTCTGTTTTTATATTTCCGTCATTTCTAAAAATAATCTTTTATTTAAATTCTTTTCTGTTTGTAAAATTTTAATGTTTAGGCCAGTGCAGTTATGAAATTCACAATGTTGAAAATGCAAAAAAATTTATATAGCTGCGACTATCAAAAATAAGTAGCCCTAGTACCCCTTATTAACATACTAAAAGTCCCCATGCCTCCGACTGTTGCGTCACCAAAAAAAGTCGTCCGCCATCTTGAATTTCAGCACTGTTTGGGAAAAACCGCGAATAACTCGAAAACGGTACATTTTTTTGAAAAAAATGAAGACATCAAAATTGAAGAGAATTAAAAAATCTATCAGACACAATGAGAAGTAATTTTGTATCATAGCGATCTATCAACTTATGAATTTTCAATTCTGTTAATTATTCGGTTTTGATAATTTAATTATTTAAGGCGCGAAAATCGCAGAACAAAACAAAATGTTTGATGATTGATGTTTAGATCAGTTGAGATATTATAAATACAAAACCCTTACATCTCGTCAAGTTCTTAGCAAGAATTTTGAGTTAGCTGCTTTGCCTCCAACTTCAGACGGAGCTGATGAGAATCATTACTATAGGACTTGCTTACAAATTCAATATTGGCTTAATAATAAAAAAAGAACCAACACATTGGGGTTGGGATGAAAAAGAAGACATGTTGGTTCCAAAAACTATGTCAAAGGCAGTGGCACCTGATTTTGTTCTGAATATGATATATTGCAACTGCAAGTCAGGATGTAACAAATTATATGCACATGTATAAAGTCGAATATTCCGTGTTCAATACTATGTGGTAATTGTAATGGCATTTCTTGTGACAACAAACAAATTTCCGTAGATGAAGAGCAATTTGAATAAGATGGAAAAAATCGTATCCCAGTTTTAGATTTTAGTCACTGTTGAATGGTAACAGAAAGGCCTTGGTTCACTCTCATGATATTATTTGGTATTAGAAAGTTAATTGTCACTTATAATTAATTACACTATGGTTTATTTTTTTCCAAGATAGATTTTGGCATTGTCAACTTTGAAACATAAACAATGCCGCTAATGCCGCTTATTGGTCGCTATTGTAAAACTGATGTTAACTTGCAGAAACAACTCATTTCGCGACCAATCAGGGTCAAGCGTTATTGGTTATGTTTCAAAGTTTTCAATGTCAAAATCTATCTTGGGAAAAAATAAAGTGTAGAGCCTTTTTTTGTCAAAGTAAACTTGATATTTCAATGAGAATTTTGTTGCCTGGCAATTTGAGTTAAATTGCCTAAATACAACAAAACTCGAATTATAAAGTAAAGAGAGACAAAAAGATAAAAAAAAGCTTGAGTGTAGTTCGGTAAGACAATTTAATGGATACCTACGTAAATGACAAATTTTGCTGGTCATGTCAAGCTAGGTTCAGTTTTGTCGTTGGAAAAGTTAGGGCAAATTTTTTTCATGTATAATATCACAAGAGAAAAAAATGTGTCGGCAAAATTTTCGAAAGGTATGAAAGTTTAATGCTTGGCAATTTCGCGAATGACGTGAGTCACGAGCGAAATTGCAGAAAAGCAACAAACTTGAATAAAACCTTGAGAACAATTTTGCCTACACAATTTTTTCTTGAGTGGTATTCGTCATGACTATTTCACGTAAGATTTTGAAAATAAATAGAATGCAAAAATATGAATAAAAACTTCAAATTAAAAATATCAATTTGACGTCAAAAAATGGTCTCTGAAATACCATGTTGTTAGTATTGTCCAGGTAGCAATATTGTCAGGTGAATACCGAGTTCATTGTCGAATGTGATACCACAAGAGGTTTCAGGATTACCGGATAATACTTTTACCTGTCACGAAACGCGTTACGCAACAACCACGACTCCGAAGGAGGAGTGGTGTTGCTGGTAACACGTTGAGTGTCGGGTAAAAGTATTAGGTAATCCTGAAACTTCGAGTGGTATTCAAAAGGTTATACAACGAACTAAACTTTGATACTTTATTAATGTTCATGATGTAAATGTAAATGAACAATATTGCCACCAAGCGCGATATTCCCAAAATGTAAATGAACAATATTGGCACCAAGCGCGATAATCCCAAAAGGCTTGTCACTTCTTAAGCCTCTCGTGTCATATGGGAATAATGTACAATGAGTTGTATAACCGGTGTAATACACTCTAGTGAAATAGTCGCTGCAATAATGACAAAAACACCAGTCATATGGGATTTTTTGTGTATGAATTAAATTGTCAATTTAAATTTGCTTATTACCTATCCTGTCTTCTGGCCAAAACATTGTAAAATTGACCTTGTCAATTTTTTTGCGTTGAATAGTATTATTGTATTGAATCTGCGATTACTCATTATTAGTTCATACGAGGGTAGTTA